AATTTGGATCCCAATCCTGTTTCTGCCGCCAAATCACTGTGTGACCTTGGGCAAGTCACCACCAGAAATTCGAGAACGCAGTGGGGCCCATCTAAGTATTAACTGCTTAAGCAAAACCAATACCAGGTTACTTAAATTTGAGCTGGATACAGCTATGCCTGATCTCCTTTGTTGAAAGGAGGGAATGGACAAATATTAGGCTTTGAAGACACATAGCAGCACTTTCTCCGTGACATACACAGAAGGACTTGGTCACTCTGAGCATCAGTGTCCCACCTGACATCATTTTGACTGGGGCAGACAGGGTCCAGGGCCCCCTGGGGACAGAGGGGGCAGGAGGGCAAGGCTGGCCCCCCCGGGCGGATCTGGCTGAGACGACTCTCCCCCGCCCCGCAGTCATCAAGGCGGGGAAAGGCGGCAAAGGCGGCGTGGTCAGCGAGGCCCTGAAGGACCCGGAGGTGTGCACGGACCCTGTGCAGCTCACCACGCACGCCATGGGCGTCAACATCTACAAGGCCGGCCCCGACGTGGCCCTGAAGCCCGACGCGGAGTACCCCGAGTGGTGAGTGGCCATCGGGACACCCTCCGGGGGAGGTGGACCGTCCGTGGAGCCTCATGGTGACACCCACCCGTCCCCTCTCTGGGCCTTAGTTGTCCCGTCTGTCAGTGGGGTCACACCCCCCTCAGAGGGTCTGGATGCACACAAGTGCTTAAAACGAAGCCCTTTTTTTAAAAACAAACATTTATTGAGTGCCCACTGTATGCCAGGGCCTGTTTTAGGCGCTGGGGATGCAAAAGGGCACAAAACAGGCCAAAGGCTCTGCCTTTGTGGGGCTGGTCTGGGAGGCATGCAAGAAGCAACTGAGGAGGCGAATGTGGTGGTGACCCTCCCAGGAAGCCGGAGAGCGAGTGACGGGGTCAGGGGGGCCTGGCCCCGATCAAATCTGAGGTTTCGAGGAGGGCTTCCCTGGGGAGGTGATGCCAGATCAAGACCTGAGTAGGTTTGAGGAGCTTCAGAGGTGGAGGGAACAGCTAGTGCAAAGGCCCTGGGGCAGGACTGCAGCTGGCTCATCAGTGGAACAGCAGGGAATAAAGGTGGGGTGTAGGGGAGACCGGGCAGGGGGGTGACGGAGCCCAGCCCCCGCAGGGCCTGGGGGCTTCAGGGAGGACTTTGCTCTTGGCCCCGAGAGCTGGTCATGAACGCCACTGATGTGACCCTTCGAGCTGGGGAGGGCTTCGTGTGGCTGAGCGGGCGTCACAGGCGGACAACGGCCGGGAGGCAGGAGAGGGCTTGGCCTGTCCCCCTCGGATACCGGCGCCGTGGGGCTGGGACCTGGGGCGGAGGGGGCTGCCGGCCGCCCTGACTCCCGCCCACACCCGTCAGGCTGTTCCAGATGAACGTGGGCCCCCCCAAGAAGCTGGAGGAGCTGGACCCCGAGACGCGGGAGTACTGGCGGCTGCTGCGGAAGCACAACATCTGGCGTCACAACCGGCTGAGCAAGCGGCGGAAGTTCTAGCGGGGGCGGGACGGCCCCGAGGACCCTCCCCACCCGCCCGCCCCCACGGAGACTCGCTTTGCCTGGAGGAATCAGGCTTTTCCCAGGGCAGAGGGGGCCCCGTGTGCCCCACACGGCGAGGCTGCCTCAGGGCCCCGGGGAGCCATAAAGACCCCTGGGGCCCAGCCTTGGTGGGTGCCGTCTGAGATGGGCCGACGGCGGGGAGGTGGCACTCAGACCCGGCGCCCAGGGCCCCGGTGTCCACCCCCGGCTGGGCTTCTGCAGGCCCGTCTTCGCCTCCAGGCCTAACTGGGCTGCTCGCTCTGAGTCCCGGACCCCTCCCACTGCCCCGCAGGCCCCTGTGCCCGTCCTCGAGGGGGAGGGCTTTCTAGCCAAGCCCCTCTTGGTTGCAAGGGAACCAAACCTGACCCAGGCCGTCGGAACCAGAAGAGCCTTTGTGAGCCTCGGGGACTGAGATGTCCAGGAGGAGCTCTGGCTTCAGGCAGGGCTGGATCCAGCTGTTTCAATATTTGGATGTGTGTCTCTTTCTCTCTCTCAGTCCTTTTAACGCCCAGTGGGTAGTTCCCGGGCAGGGGTGGCTTCAGGGCTCCTGGCTGACACCCCCACCCCAGCTCAGTAAGGACCTTCCTTCCTGCCAAGGTCATGGGGGCTTTCTTCACTGGCCAATCACTTGAGCCCAGGGACCTGGGGCTTCTGAGCATCCCCCTGTCCACCCCCGCCCGCACCCCAGCAGGAACCACATCCTGGAGCCGGCAGTGGGCACCATGAACCTGACCCCCAGCCCACGTGAGAAGCGCGGCTCCCGCCTGCCCTCCTGTCCTGCCCAGCCCAGAAGGAGGGGTTTGGGGGCAGGGTCCCAGGGGGCTGGCCCTTCACCAGGGTCTGCACGGCCCCGCCCTCTCCTGAGTAGGTGCCTGCGGGGAGCGGGCACCGCCCGGTGGGACTAGACCAGGGCGCCGCCCCTCCAGGACCTGTGCAGGCTGGGCGCCAGGTTAATTCCTCCCTGTCCCAGGAAAATGAGAGCCCTCATCCGCTTAGGACTCTGCCGAGCGGATTACTGCACACCTGCCCGCCCTGCTGGCCCGCCCTGCTGACCCGCCCTGGGCAGGCCGAGAGTCCCAACACTCTCATGCATCCCCCTGGCTCTCAGGGTAGAAACCAAAGTTGTCACGGCCATCAGGCCTGCACCACCTGCCCCGTCCCCTTCCGGCCCTCCTTCCTCCCTCTCTCCCCCTCGCTCCCTCTGCTCCAGCCACACGGGCTCCTCGCTGCTTCTCCAACACACCAGGCCTGATCCTGCCCCAGGGCCTTTGCATGGGCTGTGCCCTCTGTCGGATTGCTCTTCCCCCAGGTGTCCCCATGGCTCCCTCCATCTCCAGGTCTCTGCTCTGAGGTCACCTTGTCCACGAGGCCTCCCCTGACCACTTATTAAATTGTAACTCTGCCACACACTCCTGGTCGCCCTCCCTGGTTTTATTTTCACCCTAACACTTCACCACCAGCTGGCCGTTTAGGTTTTACTTATTTATTTAATAGTGCTTCTTGTCTCTCTCCCGCTGGAGTGGCAGCTCCCTCTGGGCAGGGGTCTCTGTTCACCGTCACGTCCAATATTGGATGGATGGATGGATGGATGGATGGATGGATGGATGGATTGGATGGGTGTGTAGGTGGATGGATGGACAGATGGACGAGTAGACAGATGAATGAATGGAAGGATGGATGGATGACGGATGGGTGGGTGGGTGGGTGGATGGATGGATGATGGGTGGATGGATGATGGGTGGGTGGGTGGATGATGGATGCGTGGATGATGGATGATGGGTGGGTGGATGGATGGATGGATGGATGATGGGTGGGTGGATGGGTGGGTGGATGGATGGATGGGTGGATGGATGATGGGTGGGTGGATGGATGGATGATGGGTGGGTGGATGATGGGTGGGTGGATGGATGATGGGTGGATGGATGGATGGGGGGATGATGGATGATGGATGGGTGGGT